ACATGCATTTTTGCAAATTCCCGTCTCGCTTTTTTATGATTTTTTTTCAGCAGTGGTGTCCTCCTTGGTCGTCTCCCATGAAGTCCACTTTGGCTCAAACAACGACGAATGGTGCGATCTGACACTGATGTACCTTGGCCTTGGAGTTCACCTTTAATTTCTTTGGAGGTTGTTCTGGGCTCTTTGGATACAATTCGAACGATCCGTCTCTTCAATTTGTCATCAATTTTCCTCTTGCGGCCACGTCCAGGGAGGTTGGCTACTGTCCCATGGGTCTTGAACTTCTGAATAATATGAGGCACTGTTGTCACAGGAACTTCAAGCTGTTTAGAGATGGTCTTATAGCCTTTACCTTTAAGATGTTTGTCTATAATTTTTTTTCGTATGTCCTGGGACAATTCTCTCCTTCGCTTTCTGTTGTCCATGTTCAGTGTGGTACACACCTTTTCACCAAACAGCAGAGTGACTACTTGTCTACCTTTAAATAGGCAGACTGACTGATTATGAGTTTGGAAACACCTGTGATGTCAATTGAAGGACACACCTGAGTTAATCATGTCACTCTGGTCAAATAGTTTTCAATCTTTTATAGAGGTACCATCATTTTTGTCCAGGCCTGTTTCATTAGTTTGTTTTTTTAAATAATTATGTTAATCAACAATTCAAAAGTAATGGCTAATTTTGATTATTTAATTTTCAATAAATTTTTATTTATTGTTACTTTTGTAAGTTTCAAGTGATTTCAGTGAGAATTGTGGGTTTTCCCTTCTTTAACTGAGGGGTACCAACAATTTTGTCCACGTGTGTATCTTTATGAAAGTCCATCCTTTTCTGTATAATTTACTGGTTAGTGTTAACCACTGGTTTTGTCATTAAAGCATATGTTTTATTGTGGAATATATGTAATCTAGTATAAAAAAATATCACTACCTGCAGACAATGACAAATGTGTTATTGTCTGAAGATAAATTGAGTTTTGTCAGTTTGTTTTTATTTTAATGTTTTTCTTTTCTGTAGGAGGGAACGTCCAAGTTCGCCACTCTGGAGATTAATCCCAAACGGGCTCAGAGGAGACACCAGCAGCAGAGAGACCTGGTAAATTCCAGTCATAGACCCAGTAAAAGCCCCACCTGCTGGTAAAAGTAGGCACTGCAAATGTATTAAGACATTAATTAATTGAATTAGGGAGATTTAAAAAAAAAATCTTTTAGAAATAAATTGAAGAAAAGTCTCATATAGTTAAATAATTTATTTGTCATCCTCCTTTATTCTAATCTTTCCTCTGATTTAATGTTTAACTGACTTTCTGCTGTTGGTGTAAAACAGGGTGTGATGCAGGGCACCATTCCATACCTTGGAACATTTCTGACGGACCTGGTGATGATGGACACAGCCATGAAGGACTACACTGAGGTCAGAGTTCGGCAATGTTCATACCATGTGACCTGTGGCATCATAATGACCAGCTGATGTTTTGATCTGCTTTTATTTGCAGGGAGGACTCATCAACTTTGAGAAGAGAAGAAAGGTAAAGAAAAAAAGTAAAAACCTTACCTTAGGTATTTGTAGAGCTGTTTCCTGTTTTCTCTGTGGTGTAATTACACCCTCTGCCTGTAGGAGTTCGAGGTGATAGCTCAGATCAAGCTTCTGCAGTTAGCCTCCAACAACTACAGCTTCACTCAGGAAACTCACTTCAGGGAGTGGTTCTCTAGTGTGGAGAAGTTCAGCGAGACCGAGAGGTGGTGTTTTCTTGTCAAACAAAAATCAAAAGCCATACGTTCATAAGGTCTGGCTATCTTCAATTTCGTTGTACCCCTGTGTTACAATGACAATAAAGGCTATTCTATTCTATTAGGTTTTCTGACTTGAGTTTGGCACTCTTTATTTATCACAAAAGATAAGATGTGTGAAAATCCTTAGTCATTGAAGTTTTTATGTTGTGGTTCTGTCCCAGAAAACTGTAGTTGTAAGTTTTACACTGACACCTTCCATACTTACTGCTCCTGCAGTTATCACCTGTCCTGTGAGATCGAGCCTCTGTCGGAGTCGGCCAGTAACACACTGCGAGCCAAGAAGAATGGTGGCATCATGAAGCGCTGGACCGAGTAAGTGACATTCCAAAGCTTTTGTTTTTAACAAATTAAAAAAACTTAAGGCAAAGATTTGACCCAGCCTCTCCTCCTCTGTGTGCAGTCGGCAGTTGGTGGAGGGATCTGCAGGGGCTTCGGGCTCTCACTCTAAGTCGTTTGATCAATCCCACTACAGACCGTACCAGGGCGGCGGAGACAGCTGTGATGCCCTCAGTGTGACCTCAGTTAGCTCTAGTGGCTCAGACCTGGAAGATGTCAATGCCAGCTTCCTGTCTGACTCTCCTGAAGGTCACGAGAGAAAGGTATATGGATTTTAATGATGGGAAAATATACCGGTAAGAAAAATCAGACATCAGTGAATGATACCATTCTCATTTGTTGGTCAGGATGGTATGGATTTGGTTAAGACATTTCTGGAAAATAGAAAAATATATTTAGTGCATCATTTAACAACACATTGAGTGTGTAAATACTTCACTAACAATGACTTCCCCGTTCATTGTTAGTGTGTATTGCCTGTTAAAACAGTGTTAAAACACTGTTAGAGTAAAACACTGAGAGGCTCAATTGTTTACCGTATTTTCCGGACTATAAACGCACCTGAATATAAGCCGCACTCACTAAGTTAAAAAAAAACCCAATACATTTACATACATAAGCAGCACTGGACTATAAGCTGCCAATATCCAGGTTGAGAAATTAGATATTTACCGGATACACAGGAACACAGAAAGATTTTGTACTGTCGTGGTAAGGTTTTACCACCCCGGATTCGTTGATCAACTTCTACACCATCAAGAAGAACTTTCACAAAGTATAAAGAAAAGACAAAAGTCGTTGCTCGAGTTCACCTGTGCACAGGGAGGATCCAGCGGCGAGTCAGAGGATCGACTGCTGAATTCTGCTCTCTCCACAAACTCAGGCTCGTTTTATTGACACACACATCCAGGGGTGGTACATATCAAGCGATACAGACTTCATTTGTTC